CACATGGGCATTTCGGAGCATCCGGGTTTCGCTCCGCACCACTTCCAGGAGAGGAGGTGGCGCCGGCTTTCCGCTTCATACAGGGGCTAAGGGCAGCACAAACACAAGAAATGATTAACCTTAGATCAATTAGTGTGGTGCTTTATAAATACCACATGAAGAGAACGGGATCAAGGTGTTTGGACACTCAGAGGCAGTTTTATTGGCACTACATATTTCTAGAATAACATGGAAGGTCAATTCTTCCTCGGGAAAAGTGTCTCGGAAAGGGATTTTCTTCTGAAGTAAAGCCCTTCAGGAGGTCGGCTTCAGGATTTCTGCTGCGGCTGTCTTGGATAGTGAATTTGAGGCTGCTGGTTTGTGAGACGTTACGTGAAGGAGATGCTCAAGGAGATGGGAAGTGAGAGCTGCACGTTTCTATAGTCCGTGCATTCAGCCCGCAGCCTCCAGGCTGCTCCACTCTCCATACGCTGCATTTAGGTGTAACCTGAAGCACCATCCAGACCAGCTTTGGACTCACCAGCTACAGGTGTCTTGTTGTCCCACTGAAACTACTGATCATTGTGACAACAGTAGATGTTTCTAGAAACCCATGTGGCATGTTTTACCCATGTCACACATGTGCCAGCGCCAGGACACCTAAAGATTCGGTTCTGCAAGTGTTGTTCCATGCTGTCCTATACATCAGCCATGGGACCAGACTGCAAAACTGGGAAATGATGATGTGGATGTGTCTTCACCAGGACAAAGGCCTGGAGCCAAGTTCTGGAATACGCCGAGTAAAACACGCACTAGAGAAAACACAATTCCCATAGAGGTAGAAGGGTTTCAAAATTTAATAACTGAACAATTCAAGGATCTTTAAAATGTGAGTTCAGAAACAAGGTTTGGATCACATAATTAGAAAAGATGTTTCTCGTATAACAAAGAAAGAAAGACAAAAACAATGCTGGTCCCTGCTTAAAGGGAGAACGCTATACTCAGAACCTAACAAAAAAAAAGTACCTGGAATAACATGACCAGTTTTGAACTGCTGACACTGTTAACTTCTCATAGCACCTACAAGTTGCTCTACAGTAAATGACTTGGGAAGATCCCAGGCCAGTGATCAGGTCAGTGTGGTCCTTGTCCGCAGGCAGAGTCCGTGGCCTCGGGACAGCAGTGAGCAGGGAAGTGGGATACACGCTGGGAAGAGGGAATTCACCCACCTTCCTGCTGGCAAGGAGAAGCCGCTCACTCCATAAAACAAAACTGCCACAATCCTTTATCCAAAGTCACAATTATAGGGAAAAGAAAGCAAAGTACATTCTAAGGAAGAATCATTCAAGCTACAAACCACTTTTTATTCCAACCAAAGAGATTTTAGCAGTAGAGAAGCAGCGAGACCCCCTGAGGCTCGCAGTGTTTCCCTGCTGTACCACAGAGATCTGCTGCTGGGCAAACGCCCCGTGATCGCTCTGCTGATCCCCGTGATCAGCACAAAACATCTTCAGACTCCTCTGGCCCCGACAGATCCTGCAGCAGAGCTTGGAGTCACCCGTTGCTCTGCAGGTACCTGTCCAGGAACTGGGAGTAGCAGTGGAGCGAGCAGAAGTAGCAGATGACGGGGGCTTCCGTACCCCCCATGTTGTCCACGAGGACCACGGTGTGCGCCACGTGGTGCAGGTTCATGGTCACGGTGATCTGGATGAAGCTGCTCAGGCAGGCACTGCCACACTGGCACGTTTTGGCCACCTGCAGGTCTTCACACAGGTGAGCGGGAAGGAGGTGGCAGCCGTACGGGATTCTGTTGAACAAGGGAGGCAAGTGTGAATTCGTTGCAAGTGTCACAAACTCAGTGACATGCCACATGCACCAGCCAGGGGGACAAAAGCTGTTTCAACATCACACAAAAAGGCAAATCTGAAACGTTGGCACTAGCAGTACTAGGCTAAGTAGAAACTACAAAGCCCCTTTTCAAGATAGCCACAAAACCCGCACACCCATGTTACTGACCACGGAGTACCAAGAACCTGACCCCAGAAAACACTGTAACAAGAACCAGGGCAAATTACAGCAGCTTGGCAGGGCAGGGAGTAGAGAATTAGAGATAGACAGAATTAACAGGAGGACTAAAAACGGACAACCATGGCACACACGTGCTGTTCCCCCCGTCCTGCTGAGGTACCCACTATCTGCTGCACCCTGTAACACGACTGAGCTGGGGTATCCCCAACACGCTGCATCCTGACAGCAAGTGAGTCTGTCCACAGCAGCGTGACACTGCAGACCATGAATTCATATTCTCTGTTAATCTACCTGCTTTCTCCTCTGTCACACCATGCATGACATCCAATTACGAGGACAATGAAGAAACTTCTTTCCAAAGTCACCGATGAGTGGCATTGTGTTTAGGATACAAAATAAACAAGTTCCCTAATCTATTCTCAATAGTTAACTTTAACATACACGTCCCCCAGTGCCCAGGGGTCACTCAGGGCTCCCCGAGCAGGTCCCAGTGACTCACATCCAGGCTGCACCTACGTGGTGCTTGTTCTTTCCACACACTGTCACTCACATCGCTGAGACGCCTGTGGATGCCCCCACGCCACCTCACTTCCAGGACATCCTCCTTTTCTGGTCACGACAACCATAATCACAGCTCCTGTACCTGCCCAGGATGCCAACAGGGAGCTATTTTGCAGGTGTTTCTCTTCACTGCCATCCTGCCTTCTGTTTTCTTCCTTTCTCAAGGCTTTTAGTGCTTATTGTCGCTGCCCTCCGCTGTCACCTTTGCAAATCAACGGTGAGGCTGAGGAAGTGCCAGGGCTCCTCTGGCCTCTGCTGTTTCCTTGTAATCCCGGAGCAGGGGCCAGGGGCACCGTTTCCCTTGTCTTCCTCTTGGAGCACGGAGCCTGTTCCCTTCTGCCTGGCAGTGGCTTTTTAGAGCACTTTCTGCACTGGGGTCAGGGCTCAGTTAGTGCCTAGGAGCCCCACGTACTCTGCCAGTGGAACTGAGCACCAAAACCAGGTGCAGGGGCCTTCTATTCTCTAGAAAAACAGGCGCTCTAATCACATATGTGTCGAAGCCACTGTGATTTGTATTACAGACTGGAAAGGAGGCAGGTGAGTTTGGATCATCACTGTTTCAAACTCAGCTGGCTCAGAGGAGGAGGAGATAAGAAGGGGCCACCTCAGCTCATTGCAGGATGTGCCTGGGGGACACTTATAACAGGGCTTTCCAGCAGCCAGCCCAGGACTTCCCCCACCAGGCTGGAAAGAGCAAAGAACACAGATTAGAAGCACATCCAGTCTGTCTCTCGCCCCATTTTTGTATCTCTCTGACTCTCTTCCATCTTTGCACCTTTTTCACCCAGAAAAATGGGGTGGGAGTCGCACCAGATGGGACTAGAAAAGCACAGGCAGTGGCATTTAGGCAGAGCTATGCAAGTGATGTGGGGAAAAACCAGATAATAAACAGCAGCCTGGCAAGGCTATAGCTTATTTGGGGAAGCAAGAGATGCTAAGGATTTTAAAACTATCTCAGAACGGGGCTTCTCTGCATAAGGCAGAAGGAAACGCACAGTTCAAGGAAGCATGAAGTAGAGAGGAGCCTGGGGAAATTAATGCCAGCTACAGCTCGATGCTGCCCCTCTGGGAAGGCTCTCGAGGACCCTCCAATACAGCTCAGCTTGCCCCCTTTCTGCCCCATTGAAAGTGGGGCAGAGCCTCCAGTGTCTGGCATGGGGCTGCCCTGTGGAAGGTCCCTTTAGCCAACACGCCATCCGCACGTGTGACAGGTTAGCTGCAGGCTAGCAGATTTTTCAGGGAGTCCAGTGTGTTTTAAGGTGAACACAGGATGAGGGGCAACCATGAACGCCCAGGCTAAGGCCCGATACACATTATGATCCGTATCACAAAATCCACTGTAACCTAAGTGCCTAGATATACAGTTCTGGAAGTCCTTCAGGGTCACAGAAATGGGTTAAATTTGGCCATGGTTGGGCAAAACAAGGCTAAGGCCCGATACACATTATGATCTGTATCACAAAATCCACTGTAACCTCAGCGCCTAGATATACACCGTCACCTAGCACCTAGTTCTGGAAGTCCTTCAAGGTCACAGAAATGGGTTAAATTTGCCCATGGTTGGGCAAAACGTTCTGCTGTGGTGCTCCCCATTTTGTGAAGTATAATAGTTCAACCAATAGCTTTGTCCAAGTGCTCCCAAAATCACTACAAGAATCTGCTTTATCTCACACAACAGAGAGGAAATTACAAGTGAAATTCCTTACGGTTTGGAATATGTGACGAACAATTGCCATAAGCAGGAAAAAAAAACCCAATCAAGAGAGTTTTGACTTGACAGGTTTGAAATAAGCAGCAACAAGTTCCATTCTCACTCCTCTTACCTGTAATTTACAGTTGCCCTTGCAGCACATTCTAATAAAGTCAATGGTATTTTCAGTTGTATGTTGGGAACGAGTGGATTAGACTGTTCAAAGGGATTTCCAAACAGATCCAAGTTCTCAAGAGAGAGTTTCCTAAAATCACTGGGCAAAAAGGGAAGCTTGTTCCGTGCTGCAGACAGGAAGCGTAGATGACTTAGCTGGCCCATCTTGAACGGCAGCCTAATCAACTCATTGTCATCGAGCTTCAAATTAACAAGTTCTCGTAGCTGGCAAAACTGAATTGGAAGAGCCTTGATTTTGTTTTGGCTGAGGTCCAAGAACTGAAGAGACTTCTGAAGGGTGGAATTGCACAGGGCGACACTGAAGGACTCCAGGTGGTTGTTGTGCAAATTGAGCTCCTGAAGACAGATCAGGTCACCAATAGTCGCCGGCAGTTGCTTAATATGATTATGACTTAGGTCTAGTTTTCTGAGCTTCTTCAGGCAAAGCACCCGCGTGTCAATGCGAGCAAGTTTGCAGTACGAGGCTTGGAGATGTTCTAGGGAGTAAGGAAAGCCTTTGGTGAGAGGATAGTCCCTTCTTGATGTTATGATCATCTTTGTTTTGGGTTTTTCAACTTCCGAGGTCTTCGCTGGTACCAGAGGTGAGAGGGGGAGCGCGCCAATGTCAGCACCTTGGTGAGCCAGTCTCACAGCTGAAAGGAAATTCTTTAAATTGCTGACATCTGCCTACAAAAACAAACAAACAAACAAAACCCAAAAAACACACAAATGTAGAATTAGAAGCTCGTTATTCTTAGATTTTCTTGGATATTTAGCAACACTTTCTGAACTATTTTGGACACGTATGCATCATGAAATATCAAGTCAGAAGGGCAATAAAGGGGGAAAGGGAAACACAATTTAGGTTTAGTTGGTTGGCATGCTGTGTGCAATATTTAAGAACAAATGATAGGCAGTTTGAAAAGTTATGAACTCTCTGAATAACCTACATCAAAAGAACTGTGCTGCATTACTCAGGAAAGGAGCAACGCAGAGAGTTTATAGCTGAAAATAAAGTGCAGAAAAAATCCCTGATGCACTGCAATCTTTCCAAACCTCGACGTGATAAAGCAACAGCTTACAGAAAGTCACATAGAGCATGCAGGGATCCCAAGTTTGAGGCAGGCGCTTCTGGAAGCTGTGAGGAAGGAAAAGCAGGAATCCGAGGTTGAATTTATATGTAAAATCGGTGGGGAGATTCAAGGCACATGAAGCAAATGCTTCCGCTCACGTGAAGCACTGCCTGTCACGGCAGCCCCACAGAGGAGGAGAATTATTTTCATTTAATCTGTGACCAACTTTGCTCTACGTGGGACACAACAGGACAGCAGAAAGGACACAGAGCCACATTAATGGAAGAGCAGATGACTTCCATTCTAAGCAAGGATAAAGCAAAGCTGTGTTACATTTGTTGTACCAAAACAATTAACTTTATGAATAGCAGGGTAACCAAATATTTCTCTTCTAAATTTCACAGTAAGTATCCCAACTGGCAACGGACAAACATGAAGCTGCAAGAAAATTTTGAAGTAAAAAGCAGAACGTATCCACACAACTAAAATAAACTCCTCCGTGCAAAAAGAACAGACACTCTCGGGGCTTTGGCACAGTGCAGAGAGTCAAGTGTTTTTCCACTCCGTTTCCAGTGGTTCTGTACCTGAAAGACAACCCTTCTCCTAATTGCATTTGTCTATAACAAATTCCACAGGGTGCCAAACTAGCTCACATAAAATACTGGAAGTGCCTTGCACAATGGACAATGATCCTGGAGATTTCTAGATGCTAATGCAATGTAAATAAAGACAATGACCATATCTGCACGCACAGCTAAGCTAATCTTACCCATCCCACGCACATCTGGTCCCTTAACTCCTGACGTGATCTCTTCCAGAGACAGGAAATTGCACCTTCTTCCTATCAATATTCATTATGTCAGGCAGGCCGCACTAAAACACTCAGCTATGGGACTCCTCCCAGCTACAGGCAGATTCAGCACCTTTCCGAGGGCAAAAGCAGCTAAATAAATTTGAAAGCAAAGGGGAAAAGTCATTCAGATCTGTAAAGACCAAGGAGAATGGATAATGAGATCCTAGAAATGAAGTTACAATTTCTTTGCTGTCAGACTGCAAGACAAAACAGAAATCTGATTCTGAAGACAAAAGCTCTAGGATGTTAAGATAATTTTACACTCTTTATATGTCTTCAAGATAGGACTACTTTGTGCTCTGGAGCCTTAAGACAATTTTTTTCTGCAATACCTACATAAAGCAAATATTCTTATGGCTTCACAAACACATGTTGAGAAAACAAGACACGCCTAGGAAAAAGCAAAGAATTAGCTGGAAGTGCCCAGGAAGGAGCTCTGTGCCACACGCCTGGAGTCTCACCAACAAAAAGGATGTTGTGAAAGTAAGTTAATGCGCCTTGATGCCTCACAGGCCTCCTGTTTCCGAGCCAGATGAAAGGGAACAAGACGGCCGGGCCTGCTGAAAGCAAAATCCGCAGCCACTGTTGCTTTTGCTCCGGGGTTATATGATTTAGAGCAACGTTTCTGAATTTCTGATGTGCAAATCACACTACCTGGCGGAGTGCTAACAGTGGGGTTTTGCACATTAATTGCACACAACGAGCATAGCAGGAATCTCTTTTCCACAAACATTTTGCCCAACTTTGAGGTTTTAATTCCATATATAAAGGCATCTATTACACTAGCAGAAATGACATACAAAAATTATCAATCACCTTAAATCACATTTCCAGTTTTGGAGAGTTTAAGAGAAATAAACAGTACCATTAGCTTCTGAGGAACTCAGCCAGTTGTTTACGAAGCTTCACGTGAGCCTTCAGGTTAAGAATGGGAGGTGACAACATGGCTTCCTTGGAACAACCCTAAACAGCTTCACAAAAGCTTTTGAAATTCTAATGCCTGTTTCACTAGGTGGTAAGTGTTTGGCTAGCGCTTTGCAGCAGTTACAGCTCATTTGCAACAGTTCATTCAGAGAGCAGCTTTCTGATTTCCTCCTCTTCAGCAGAAATGCTCCAAAAAAAAGAAGACACCCTAAAACGTGAATGTGTTCTGGATCTGACAGCATACCCATGAATTTCTTTTCTGTCAGGTACAGAGCACATTCGTCTCTGTCAAAACAAACTGGTTTCTGTCAAAACAAACTGAATTTAGAAACAAGCTGCTTCCTTTATATTTCTGTGAACTCCTCACACAATCACCAGGTTAAAGCCACTTTCCACCACAGCCTTCCTTCTCATACAAACAAGACTTTTCCAGACCATTGGACCCTACCAGATTCTGCCAGGTCTCAGACTACCACGTTATATCCAGACACTGCTCTTATTCCCAAGAAAAGAAGCACTTCTCCTTCTTTTGTCAGGTCACAGTTTTTAGGATTCCAGCTTGGCATGACCTCACCAAAATTATTACAAAATATCCTTCAGAATGAAACATCACTATCATTTCCTGGACAAAAAAAAAATATTAGTCATTTAAACAGCCTAACTCTAAAAGGCAAAGAAAATGTTTCAGAAAAACTGTCCTGTTGTAACAGGGCCTAAGATTATTGAAACAAGCACAGAAAGAAATAGCATAAAAACTGCACAGCGACGTGTGGCTTTTCTGGTGAATTCAGAATGAATAAAAGCCTTGTTACACGTCGGCAGCTTTCAGGTATGTCCTGTCAACTGCAAACGAACACGGCGGCGAGTCCTGCTGCTAGCGGAGCACTAAAACCAGGCGGGGACGGCGCTGCTGCTGCACGGGAGGCCTTTAGCTCGGGGGTCCGCAGTGGAGCTTCGCCGGGTACAGCCACCTGGACTAGCAACCAAACGTATGGACTACCAGGGAGAGGGGAAAAAAAGGATGTTTTTCTTCAGATACGGAAAGAAATGAAAAATAAATCGCAGTGTGAGCCAGCGAAGCAGCTGGGCTCGTTCATTCCTGTCCGTGAAGTTTCCCTCGATTCCCTCCCCGCTAAGGAGGCCGCGCGAGGAGGCCGCCCCCGCGGCGCGGCCCGGGCCGGCGGGA